TAGAAGGAGTTTTGTTAGGTTTTTAAGTAAGGGCATGGCAGGGCAACCATCTGTACTGTGACTTATTTTTCATGTTGTCAAATGGAAGATTTAGCACTTTGAATAACACCCCTCATGCCAAGGATTTATATAATAGCAAATCATGTGCAAAGATGAGAGCAAAAATAGTTTGGGAAAGTGTAATAATATTACGAGTGAATGTTGTGTTTCTTCCTCTTCTTCTTCTTCTTCTTCTTCTTCTTCTTCTTCTTCTTCTGTGCTGGATTGTGTGTACAATTTGTCTTTCCTTTTCTCATTCTCCTTAACAGTAATTTCTTGACTCAAAATTGTACATTAGTAACATCTATTTGCCAAACACTCTAATCTATGTGGAGATTTAGGCCTAACTTCCCAAAAAATATTGTAGAAATACTGTTATAGGTTTCCTTTGTCCTGGTGTTACAAGGTAGTATGAAATAGAGATGTCGTTTTAAGCAGGAAGTGGGATTGTGCCTTCCAGTTTTGTTCAGCTATGGATCAAAATTGCATCCGGTTTGTTAGTCCTGGTAAGTGAAATTTGGACCTAGACATTCATGCCACTGCAACAGTATTGTGCGTGTAGTTGGCAAACCTTTAAACTGTAGTTCCCAACCTCCAGGTGTTTTGGACTTCAACTCCCACAATTCCTAACAGCAGGTAAGACGGCTGAGATTTCTGGAAGCTGAAGTCTAAAACACCTGGAGGACCAAAAGTTGGGAACCACTGCTTTAAAGTTTGAAATCAGCATTCTCTGTAAATGCTGTATTGTGTGAACAGAGCTTTTAAAAGGCACACATTTATTTAATAGTTCCTCTTACAATTATTACACAGTTATTCAAAACTGATACAGTATCAGTTTGACTACTACTGCTACAGCATTTATTTATTTGTACTGAATGAATGAATGAATCTATAGAATTAAAACTGAAAGTCCAGAACAGTCAATTCCTGAAAGTCTTTTGGAATAAATAAGTGTTAATCTGCCAGCAAAAGGATGACAACTAGGGAGCCAGTCTAGCTTGAAAGCTTAAGTTGAGTCTTTGAAAAGGTCCTAGTTCCCAATAAATATACTTAGAAAGGTAGTAGGAGAAAGAGATCTTAGAACCTGACTGGTTCATACTGGGGAGATAGTCATAAACATTACTTTCAACTGACAGCTAGTGGAGCTCTTGCAACAAGAAAGTTGTGTATTCCCTGTAGCCAGTCCCAGTTAACAATCTGGGAACACCATTTTTGGTCAACTGAAGTTTCCCAACTCTTTATACAGGCAGCCCTATAGAGTACAGTACAGTACAATGCAATGAGTCTTCGATTTCCACTGTGGTTTGGTTTCAGGTCCTCCGTGGATACCAAAGTTGGTGCATGTTCAATTCCCATTATTGACAGTAATGCAGTATGGGCAATAGTGTAGTCTCTTGTATAAAATGGTGAACAACTCAAACAAGTGTTGGAGGGAGTCTGAAGATGTGCAAAATAGCAGGAGGTTATAGCCAAGTATGCCTATACATCAGCATAACGCTTTATGTGTAAAAAAACAAAAATCAAAGTTTGCTTTTTGGATTTTTTCCCGAATATTTTCAGGTTGTAATTGGTTGACTCCAACTGTAATCCAGGTGGGATGTAACCAAGGTATGTGTTACCATGGCCATATCAGATACCTCCAGAAATGAATGCAGCATTATTTGACTTTCTTCTAAACATTGTTTGATTATGAGGCTAAATTTTGGATATCTTGCAAAACTCCTGAGATGACTGGAGATGTTCTTAACATGTTAATAATATGGCTCTTAACATGTTCTAAACATGTTCTTAATATGGTTGCATTCTCGCAGTCCCACCAGTCATGTGTCTTGTAGAGCAAAACAGGAAGATTGCATCATTTAGAAACACATTTTTAGTTGCATTTATGTGAGACAGAATCCTTCTGAAAGCAAAGAGGTGGAGAAAGAAAAGCAATACAGGAGTAAGGGAAGACAGGAACCCTAGATACATGGGAAGTTAATTAGCCCAACATGTTCCCTTGTGTTTGTTTGATGAGAGCTCTTATAGAGAGCATATTGCTATCTCATGTTTTGTCTCCCAGTGCCCCTGAAGAAGACATTCACTTCCCTATGTACCTGACAGTGTCTCTGTTCCCCTTATTTAGTGTTCTTCCTGGAGTGCAACATCTGGACAAATCCCTCAAGTCATCTAATATTAATATTCTGTATTAGCATTTACTTAGCATTTACCTTTATTTAGTTGTTTGTTAGATTGGTACTTCAACATTTCTCCAGAGATATATACATGGGAGTAACCTATTTCATCTTTGTGACAACTCTGTCAAATTGATTTGGGTTAGATACACTGAATTGTGACTTGTGACTATAGTGCAGTTAGCTTTATTAGTACGAATTTGAATGGAGGTCTCTGCTCCAAGACGAGCACTTTGTCTGTTATGCCACATGGGTTCACTCATTCATTTAAATATCCAGCTAGATTAATATTGTATGCTTATCCCTAAGGTTCTGGACGATTTACCAGATTTGACATTTTACCACTATAAAATGATCAAAGAAGATGCTTTCTGCACAGCTCCAAATAGTTTATGTTCTGTAATGGTTACTTAAAAGCAGTTGGCAGGTCTTATATTCTTAACCCACTTCACTTGGAAATGGGGATCTGTCCTGAAATATTGTTTTCTTTCTTTTCTTTCCGATTTGTTTTGAGTTGTGCTGGATATATTTATACCAAATTTCATGTTATTGTGACTGAACCATAAGTTGCAGGCGTGCTAGGACAAAACAAGCCACTGAATACAAGTTTTGAAGAGTCCTACACGCATGGAGGGTCAGAAAATATCTTCAGGCAAGAGAAACTATTAACATATTGCCTATTTAGAATACCTGAATAACCTAAAATGAATTGGTATAACCACTAACCTTTGCCACCTCAATCCTGAGCTTGAATGTTGAATAGTAGTTCAGCAGTCCTTACCAGCACTTGAAATCTGAATGCAATTAACTATTACTTCAGCATGGCTGCATAAATGCCTGAGGATGTTCTATCCAAGCTCCATTTTATGGGGTTTTTTTAATGAAAAAACATACTAATAAAAGTGAAGCTAGGTCAGTTTGAATCAAGCCATAGCTATTTAAATTGTTCTGATTTTGCATAAAGCACTTGTTTATATACAGTAGAGCCTTTGTAGTTAAGCACATTATTGCATTGTAAAATGGTTAAGCTATTTTAGTGGTACGTATTGACTGGTGACGTTTTACACATACAATATTTAAAAATATCTGTGTAATATGCTTAATGTAGCAGTGTATATTGAGTAGCAATAACAAGAACTTCATAGGAGTTGCTTCCAAATTTGTCATTTTGATCCCATGGGAGTCAGTGACAATAGCTCATTAATGTGGGAAAATGTAGTGTTGCTTTCTTTAGGTGGAGGAACGTTTTCCCAGTGCCCCTTAGGTGGAGGAACGTGTTCCCAGTGCATGGCAACATTTACTATTTAAGTGCAATCATTTAGAGATTGCTCTGGGCTTAAGCAGGTATAAGAAAAACTAGAAAGAAATATATGGCTCTAGCTGTCTCAGTTTTTAAACATTACAAGAATATGATTGTACAGAAAAATAAAGTATTCAAATGTTATGAAATTTAAGCTTTTAAATAATAATAATAATAATAATAATCCCACACCTGTCTCCCCAAGGGGACTCGGGGCGGTATATTATTTAGTGCAGGCATGGGCAAACTTGAGTCCTTCAGGTATTTTGGACTTCAACTCCCACAATTCCTCACAGCCTACTGTCCAAAACACATGAAGGGCCTGAATTTGCCCATGCCTGATTTAATGCATAGTGCAATTGTTTTTGGCTGAATTCTATCTATATTTCTTTGCTCGTTATAAATTGTTACAAATATCATAAATATCTACACTTATGGACACTACAAAATATGAATTAAACTTTCAAAGAAAGTTGTATGTATGTATTGAATTCATATTTGCCTTTCCCTCAACGTGGGATAGCAGTGAGCTTCATAAGGCTTGAATTAGAAATGAATTTGGGGTTCTTTGTAGCCTCATAAGAAAGAATTTAATGGCAGTATGATCTTAAGAAGATTTTATGGCTTTGAAGGGGTGCTTCAGGAAAACTACTTCTAGGAGGAACAAATTTAGCTTTGATTGTTGGACTATGTCTCTGGAGACTTCGAAACCTCATTCAGCCATGGAAACTCACTTGGTAATGTTGGGCAAGTAACATTGTCTCAGCTTATAAAGAAAGATAAGAAACTTCTATGATGAGTTCATTATAAGGAATAGGGATTCAGTCTGTGTTAGATGGGGATCACATTCTTCCTGAAAAGACAGGTTCACATTTTAGGAGTACTTATGAAGCCCAGTTTTCAGCAGTGATCAAGAGTGTATTTGCATTGGTAAAACTTGTACATCAACTGCATCCATTCCTGAGACATCTGTCCAGAGTGATAAATGCCTAGATTACATCCTGTTTGGATTACTGTAATGTACTTTATGTGACTATTTTTGAAAAGTTTTGAGAAACTTCAGGTTGCCCAAAGAGCTGCAGCAATATTGGAGGTGGCTACAGGGATCAACAGCTCTCTTGGCTGTTGATCCATTTCTGGGTATAATTCAAAGTGCTGCTTTTTGCCCGAAAAGGTTTGGTTATAGGTTATTTGAAGGACCGTGTCATCGCTTGTGAACCCATCAGAACTCTTGAGAGGTTTTCTCTCTGTACCACCATTCTAAGAGGCTCATTTGGTGGGAATAAAGGAGAGGGACTTCTTGGTGGCTGATCCCAAACTTTGGAACTCCCTAATAGAAAGGGGAAGAAGTAAATCAGATAGTATAGCATGTGGTTATCCATCAAGCTTTCAAAAGTTCAATTGGTGTTATGATATCTTTATTTGCTGGATGTGGATATTTGCTGAATTTGCTTCATTATTTTTAAAGTGCCTCATTTTCATTTCAGAGCCTCCTGTTCCCATTGCACCGCCCCAGCTGTCATCTGTTGGTGCAACCTATTTATGGATACAATTGAATGCCAATTCCATAAATGGAGATGGACCCATCATTGTGAGAGAAGTAGAATATCGCACCTCCAGTGGAAATTGGTATGATAAACAACCAGTAGATTCTGCAAGCTATAAAATCGGACATCTTGATCCAGATACAGAATATGAAATTAGCGTGCTGCTTACTAGACCAGGTGAAGGAGGTACTGGATCCCCTGGGCCAGCTCTTAAAACAAGAACAAAATGTGCTGGTGAGTAAGTCTATATCTTGAGATTTATTTTAAACTAGCTTGGGTACCTAGCAACGCCTGGGTTATTTGAAAAAAGCATTGTTTGTTTTTGGATGTTAAACTATATCTGTTTGTTAAGTTGTAATGCTATTTATTAGAAAAAAGCCCATCTTCCCTTTTGTTTTTTATGAATGCTCCCACTGGAAAATGCGTGATGATGTGGGTGAACTACACTTCCTAAAAATCGTGGGTCGGTCACTCCCAAACCCCAACTGTATTTACCCTGTGCCAAGTTTGGTCCAGATCCATCGTCGGTTGGATTCAGTGCTCTGAGGAAAAGGATGAACTTGGCTTGGTGATGGCAGATTTCTATTAGAGTTGTGATACAGTTGATGAGGGCTGTGTTCCAAATCACTTCATCCATTTATATGCAAATAATGAAGTAACATAGAACTTCATTGATGTAATTTTGATTATATTTGTTTACAGCAATGAACAATGTCAATTAAAACATAGAAACTATTAAATAAAATACAAAACCCATATATAGAATTTTCAAAAGTTGCACTGGGTAAAATACTCAAAATTGCAAACTTGACAAAATATACAATTTAAACAAAACAAGCAGGTCAACAAACAAGAGGGGAGATCACAGATACTTCTTTGGAAATAGAGTTTCAAAAAGCACCAGATTGGTTGGATTTATCAAGGACCAAACAATATTTGCCAGTCATGCGCTGTTTCTGGCTTTCTTGCTGTATTATTCCAAACTACTTTGTTCCTACTCTAAGGATGAGTTTTTTTATAAGTGCATTTGATCATCATGTGGCTCGTGATAATTGACGTTGATTGTGCACCATACTTCTTTGTTTTCATAATATTTCCTCCTCTCTCTCTATTACCATTCTTTTGTCTTTTATTTGGGAGGGATAGATCTCAATGGAAGATTTCCTCCACTTGAGTTCTCAGATCCACTAATGTGTGAACTTAGGGGGCGATCCCTTCAAATAGAGGAGCCAAATGCTTTAGTATTATTGCTCTACGTTTTTCTAACAAAAATTTAAAAGGAAGTGTTTTATGGTGAAGGGATGGAAGCGGTGAAAGATACCAGGTTGGAAGAAAGTTAACAGGAAAAGAATCATTTTATTTTTCTCCTGTCCAAACCCTTCCCTCTTCTTTAATTGCTGTTAAAGAAAAAAGAGCTCACGTGGAGGGAAGCAGCAAGACAAGCAAGACATAGGAAAAATGACATGAAAAAGTGTGGGGAAAATTGGCACAAAGTGGCAGCCTGGAGTGTCTGTTAGCTCTTACTGAAGGATAAAAGACCAGGGTCTCGAAAGCCTGTCTCATGTTTGTTGGTGTAGCATGCAGATCTGATAGCAGTAGACAGTGCCTTTGGGATAATATTTTTAATTTGGAAACATAAATAGGAGAATCATTTTTTTCTATACAAATATGTCCTGACACCTTTTGTGTGTTGATGAGTTCTAATGGTTCATCTATGGGTGTTCAAGCAAAAATGGCCATTGACTGATGTACTCCCTCTCCCCCATTTTTATATCAGTTTGATCTGAGTGCTGTCAGACCTTTTTAAACAATACATTAGTGGCTGAAACATTTGTGTATTATTATATACAAATGGCATAGTGTAAGAGGTTCAGAAACACTGTCTGAAAGAAAAATGGGTACAGCATCAATTCTAATAAAACAAGATGTTACCTTCTGGAATATGTTTATGGAGGTGTTGGAACGGATGTGAACTGCTTTGTGTCTAAATCTACTGTTATGTCTTTTATTTAAAAATGCTCTGGAGATGGTTACTGAGGTCTTCAGTGTTCCCTTTTTTGTGTGTTCAGAGCCAACAGCCAAATAATAGTCTATCATTAAGAGAGAACAGCTGTGAAGGAATTACAATGGGATGGATGTTTCCCAGAATTTTTTAGTTGTAGATAGTTATACTATTATTACCACCTAATGCTGTAGCTGAACTTTTTAGAGATGGTGGTTCATGACATAGTGGTATAGATATAGATGCAAATGATTAAACTTTCTCAATTTGCAGATTTTTATTTATATAAAGATGCAGGTTATTAACTACAAAGCCCTAAATGGTTCATCTCCAGCCTATCTTCGTGATCACATCTTCCCCTATGAACCGACATGAGCCCTATGATATGCTGGGGAGGCCCTTCTCTCACTCCCACCTCTTTCACAAGCGGGTTGGTGGGGACGATGGAGAGGGCCTTCTCGGTGGTGGCCCCTCACTCTGGAACTCTCTCCCCAGAGAGATTAGATTAGCAGCTACTCTGTCCACTTTCCGTAAAGTCCTGTAGACTTGGATGTTCCATTTTGCTTTTGATTAATCCAGTTCACTAGATTATACGGGGGGGGGGGGGGGGGGGGGGGGAGGCAGCCACAACCTAATACTGGGCTCCACACTTTATTATTATCTCTTGCCTTGAAGTGTATTGTACAAGTTTTATCTGGCCTCTCTAGTCCTATCAGGCCTCTGGCCCTTGCATCTATTATCAGTCCTGTCTGTGTAGTTGTATCACACAAGCCCTTGCCTCATCCTTTAGTTCTGAACATGTCATCTGTGCTCGACCACTGATGGTTGATAATGATGGTTATGTTTTTATGATGTTTTATTTATATTTTCCTGTTTTATTGTTTTATATTTTTAATTGTGTTTGACTGGGCTTATTCCCCATGTAAGCCGCCCCGAGTCCCTTTTGGGAGACGGTTGTAGGATACAAAAATAAAGTTGTTGTTGTTGTTGTTGTTGTTGTTACTACCTTGGAAAGTGTCCAGAATGTTTCAAAACTATGACAAATACGGAAAGAATAAGCCACAAAACAACAAAAGCACAGAGGTGAGGGATAGAAAATATGTATAAGCATAAAAATAACAGTAGTTGTCAAAAGTTAATGTATGGTAGATTGTATTGAATATTATGTGTCGCCTATAAAACAAACAATGTATAAAAATGTATTGAACTATGATAAAATAAATGAAAATATTTAAAAAGTTGTATGTAATCAAAGTCAGCATAGTAAAAACACGAATTGATATCTAAATTCTAAAAGCAGAAGGAGCTAAGAAGATCAGAAATCACAAAAGGGCATTCCGGTGATAGGATGCAGCTGCTCAAAAGGCTTTGTTTGATTTCAAAATTCCAAGTTTATTTCCTGTGTTGCCAGAATGCAAAAGTAGACATGCATGCAGAGCAATTCATTGATCTGGAGATGCACTTGTCTTTCCAATCATAGTTTAGATAATTGCTACTCAAAATGATGTTGCATGGGCTTCTCTACCTTTTAAATTGTAGTGATAATTATATGATACAAATGTGTCCTCTTGGATAAGATTATACCATTTTGAGACTTTAAAAATCATACTAGTCTCTTCTTAAAAATAATATTAAAAGTTTTCCTTAATGCTAGAAATATGTTTTGCCCAACACAATGAGAATCCATTGAGTTAGCATAGGCTAGTAATGATAAATAAGAAATGCATCAGAATTCAAAGAAGCACTTTTATAAAAGTGCTTTACATTCTTTGATGTTACAAAATAATATATACCAGAGCCTTGGCTAAATGAACAAATTTTGAACCTGATTTGTATATAAAAAGCTTCCATAGTTTTCATAAATCTCATAAATAAATCTTCCTTATCCAGCCATACACTTGTTGTGCATGTTCCTTGGAATTAAGTCCTACTGTGTTTAATGTGGTTTAGTCCCGTGTACTTATACATAAAATTTCAGCCTTTGATTGTGAAGTATGACCAACAGATTTTTCAACAGGAAATAAGCATTAGCTGTCATCAAGACTGCAAGTTCAAAGTTTGCTTTTCATGAAGTAACCTTTTATTCCAGCCCAAATTTTGACTTAACAACAACAACAATTTTATTTTTATACCCCGCTACCCTCTCCCTGAAGGGACTCGGGGCGGCTTACATGCGGGACAAGCCCAGAGACAACAACAAAGTTTACCAACTCATTAAAAACATAATATTAGACAAAATTTTCATGGATGTAGATTCAAAGTCCTAGATGTTATTATGGGCAGTCAAAGCAAACTGTTCCTAAAGTATATGCTTCTATTCTGGCTTTTTCTCCAGCTCTGGTTGTTCTCTCCTCTGTTATGGGACACAATGGCACTCACAGCCCTCGTACCTACTGCAATCATCCTGGACTCATGGGAGATAAACGTGCTGCTGCCAATAGGGCAGGAGAAGGAGCTGAATTAAGAGCATGAGTGAAGTTCCCAGTTGGGCATGGCAGCAGCACCAGCTGCAGCAGCAATGGATGAGATGCAAGGTGCCCTGGTCAAAGGGGGAAAAGTAATCTTACAGTTGTTGACTCGGTTGTAAACCACCCTCTCCTCAGTCTAAGCAGCCCCGAATGGGAGGAGCTTCGTCCATTTTGACAGAAAAACAGCACAATGACATAAGTAAAACAAGCAAATAGAAGGAAAAAAGGAGTATTATACTAGGCCTTTCTGAATGCCCGGATGAGTAAGTGATAGTGACTGGCCCCTTAGGTGCTGCTGGCATTTTCCCCCCTCCACAGAATGACTCTCAATTTACTCAAGTCATGTCAAAAATAATAATTTGGACTCTAAACTTGCCATTTACTTGTACTTGAGGTTAATATATATGAATCTACTAACACGCATGATTACTGAGAAGAGAGGGAGGTAGAAAGGCAGGTCCCTGCAGTAAGTCGGCATCTTCTTACCTCAATCTAGGGGCTTCTTGCTGGGCATTGCAATCATGGAGAATGAAGATGTGGCATCATTGCGGAACTGCTTGTGTACAAATATATTGGATAAGCTCATAAAATGCAACTGGAAGTTGTGCCAGTATACCACCCCAGTAGGAATCCCGAATGAAGCAAGATTGGCTTGGAATAGAGAAGAATTTTTTTTCAGTTATGGGGGGAAATGCCTTGCTTTACAACCTGATTCTACATGAGCAGCATAAATCTGTAAATAATACAATCTCCATGATATTCAC